ATATATATATAAATTTTACCATTCATCAGAAGGTGGTATGGTTTTATAAAGCCATTTATTCTTCTGTGTACACAAGAGTTCTCCAAGACCCATCTCTTCTCACAGGCCAAATTAATCAGTCAATTTTAGCAAATCTTAATTTATTCTTGTCCACCTTCTGATTTTAAATCTTTTTTTTTCAACCAAAATCATTTCAACCAGTCATCCACTGTTGATTCAAATTATTAAATTCAAAAAGTAAAATGAAAAATATAGTAATAAAAACAATATAGAGGTTTTAAATGCTGTTTTTTAAGGAAATTAACACAAATGAAAATTTTAAGAATAATTTATCTTTTTTATCATTTATAATTATGATATATTGTAATAAAAAGCAATATTTATCTGCACATATTTTTTTACTAAAACATCTTATACCTCAACCAAACCTGTTGCATTTCAGTGTTGTGTATTTCTCTAATGGAATTATGAATCAATCTATAATATGAAATATTATTTATAAAACTCAGGTGCTAACAATTTTAGTAACTATCTCTATTGTTCATGCAGACAAATAAGGGAAGTCACTGAAATGCATAGGAAATAGGGAAAAAAATGCTATATGAAAGTTAAATGTTAATATTAAGTATTGCATGCATGTTTATAAGTTGTTTAGACTTATATCTGCAAGATGGGTGATGTCACAGTGTTATTTGCAAATAAAAGTTTGTCATATAAACACTAACAACTTTTTTCTTTTTTTTTTAAAGGTGTGTGTCGGTCCCCGTTGGGAATGTCCAGAGGCCAGATCTTAGATGAAGATATTTCAGCGTCCAGTCAGTGGTCTGATTCCACAGCAGCAAAATATGGCAGGTATGAGCACACACACACACACACAGTATTTTCCAAGAGCTGTAGTGTGCAGGTTATCTTGGTGGGAGCAAACCACATCTGGGGAAATGCCTTACTAAAATGGTGTAATTATGCTTCCTCCATATATTACCTCTGCATTTTCACTGATTCTAATGGTTCCCAACACATTCTTCTTCACCAAAATGAACCATTTTAGACTAGTTTATAGACATTAATCAGGGTAGTGTCATATTTAATTTTTGACTGGTTTGAAAATGTAAAGAAATACAATGTTCAGCAGGTTGTACTGATGTTAAACAAGATACCGATTGTTCAGCTGATGTAATGTCTTTCCAAAAAAAACTTTCAGTAGACAAAAAGTCCATCAAACAGTTTTGAAAGCTGTAAGCTGTGAAAATTACAGCCTTGTTTTCGTCCATGTTAAATTCAATAGTCTATCCTGACTAAGGTCTGTGATGCAGCCCAGAGGCAAGAGACCCAGAGAGATTGCTAGAAATGAAACAGGTGTTTGCATATATTTTATTCTGTTCTGATTCTGAACTTTCTTGGCGTCTTAGGCTGGACTGTGAGGAAGGAGATGGTGCGTGGTGTCCTGAGATAGCAGGAGAACCTGAGAATATAAACGAGTTCCTGCAGATAGACCTTCGTTCTCTGCACTTCATCACTCTGGTGGGCACTCAGGGACGTCACGCGGGGGGCATTGGTAATGAATTTGCCCAGACATACAAGATCAAATACAGCCGTGATGGCAGCCGCTGGATCTCCTGGCGCAACAGGCAGGGCAAAGAGGTACACTCTGCAACACAGGTGTCTGTGCTGTCATAGAGAACTCAATATCTTGCTGCACGTGTCATCTTACTAAATTTACTTACTTTTGCAAGCTGAATAGTCGCTAATTATTCCAGAGAACACAACTTAAAAACTTGTGTCAAATTTGAATGTGATGTAGCCCAAATTATCAGTAGTGAATGTAATGTAACAGTCATACACTACATGGTCACAAAAGTATGTGGACACTCCTCAACGTGTTTGACTATTTCACTTACACTCATTACTAACAGGTGCATAAAATCAAGTGTACACACATACAATCTCTATAGACAAACCTTTTCAGGATGGGATGTAACTTTCCTGTTCCGGCATGAGTGCCTCTGTGCATAGCGAAGTCCAGAAAGAAATGGTTTACTGGATCTGGTGTGCAGATCTGAACTAAATCAAACATTTCTGGGATTAATTGGAACACCAACTGCGAGCCAGACCCCACCATCTAACAGCCTGACTTCACTTACACTTTTGTGTCTGAATGAGAGCAAATCCCAGCAAAGCTTTCCCAAAAGAGTTCCAGATTTGCAACTGTTAGAGAGGACTAAATGCGCATGATTTGAAATGAAATGCTAACTGTTCAAAAAGCACAAGTGAGTTTGCTGTTTAAGTGTCCACATACTTTTGGCAGAGTGTATGTCACAAGTGTGGAAAATCTAAATGTAAGTTTGTTTGTTTTTTCTGTTGTGAAGGTGATTGAGGGAAACAGGAATGCCTATGACATTGTGTTGAAGGACTTGGAGCCACCCATTATTGCACGTTTCGTCCGCTTCATGCCCGTCATTGATCACTCCATGAACGTTTGTATGCGTGTGGAACTGTACGGCTGTGAGTGGCTGGGTAAGTCTGGCAACTGTTGAACTAAAGTTGAGTTGAACTGAGTTCAATGCTTCAGATATTTTTTGTTTTGTCAAAATGATAGTCAAGGGAAAATCAAAGTTGCTTGGCCCCCCATGTTCATCAAAATGTCTTCTTTGATGTTCCACGGAAGAAAGAAATTCATACAGGTTAATTTTTGGATGAACTATCCCTTTAAGGATGCTGTTTAAATAAAGGCCAATGAAATCACATGACGCTATTTTCTGTCCTATGTTGACATATATCCTAATGAAACCAGTAGGTCTGCCCTCGACTAAAGATTTTTCTAGTCGATTAGTAAGCGTTCAATTTTAGCATTTTAGCATTTAGCATTAAAGTGAGCGGCCATGTAATGTAGCTACTACTTGCATGTTTCAGATGATAAGCCCTATTTGAGGTCGATGAACGAAACAAACATTTGGATGTCCGATGTGGCCTACTGTAATTACCATAATAATCTGTCTGTCACTGACTACATGACTTCACCACTTCCTGTGGAAAAGTTTTTTTTTTTTAGACTAATACAATTTTCTTCTCGTCGACTAATGGTTAGTTGACTATTAGGGGGCAGCCCTAGAAACCAGAAATCTGGGTGGTGCAACATGAGACATCTTTTTTTTTGGTCCATTTTCCCATCGGAGAACAACTGTAAATTTTACATTTTAAATCTGCTAAAAATGAATTGAGTCAGTGTGTACGAGTACACTAGCATATAGATGCCCTCAAAGATGCATGGACTAAAAGAAACACAGTTTCAGAATGTTTGTACTGTCAGGGAGAGTCCAGCCTCCTCAGGCCCAATCATCTCACACACCCGTTCACAATCACCGGAGTACTAATCAGCAGCACCTGTCACCACCTCAATCTTAAATGCACAGTCACTGCAGTCACACTTCGTCTGGTCTTGAGTTCACTACGCTACTCCTTACCTGACTCACTGAACCCGGACTCCATCCTGATACCTTCCTGTCTCTGTGCCATCCTCTTCAGCCCGATCCACCAAGGAACCCTTCATCACGTTCCATTCCATTCCATAGACTGTTGCTCTAACCCATTTGCTCTCCATCTCTCTCTCTCTCCCAGCACTTGTTAAATAAAGCTCTGTTTACTTTACATCTCCGTCCCTGGTCTCCTTCTGTACTGTGACAGAAGACCAGACCACAACTTACCCACTTTATGGAGCCACAACCACCGAACCCCCCATCACTGGAGGATTTAATCCACGCCATCCGTACAGCCGTTGGGAAAGCCGTTGGGTCGTGGGAAGATCCAACTATGCTCCCCCACCATCACGCTCCGCATAGGGTGCCTTCATGAGGAAACCATCTCGTTTCTGGTGCTGGAGAATTCCACAGCGGGAATCATCCTGGGGCGCCCCTGGTTAGCCCAACACGCACCCATCATTAACTGGAGCACCACCGAAGTTATTCACTGGAGTGAGTACTGTCAGCAGCACTGTATGTCCCAAGTTCTTCCCCTGTCACCTGGTTTCCTCCCTGTCTGTGCCACCTCCATCGAGAGCCCCGAACCCACGGAACCACACAGCATTCCCTGGGAATACCGGGCGTTCCAGGATGTGTTCAGCAAGCGGGCCGCGACGAAACTACCACCTCATCGGCCGTGGGACTGTGCCATAGATTTGCTGCCTGGAGCTCAACTCCCTAAGGGTAGGGTGTACCCTTTGTCCACCCCGGAGCAAGGAGCAATGGAGGAGTATATTAAGGAGGCTCTCCAGCAAGGCTTCATCCGGCCCTCCACCTCACCGGCCGCTTAAAGTTTCTTCTTTGTGGGCAAGAAGGACGGAGGCTTGCGGCCCTTTATTGATTATCGGACCCTCAACTCACAAACCGTCAAGTATCCATATCCCCTTCCACTGGTGCCGGCCATCCTCGAGGAACTTCGGGGAGCTCGTATCTTCTCCAAGCTGGACCTGCGAAGCACCTATAACCTCGTTCGTATCCGACATGGTGACGAGTGGAAGACCGCCTTCATCACGCCCACCGGACACTATGAATACTGCGTTATGCCGTATGGCCTATCCAACTCACCTTCCATATTCCAGGGATTCATGAACGAGGTGCTCCGGGAATTCTTCCATCATTCTGTGATCGTGTATATCGACGACATCCTGATTTACTCCCGGAACCTGGCCGAACATCACCACCACGTGAAGCAGGTCCTTCAACAACTGAGAAAATACCACCTCTATCTCAAGCTGGAGAAGTGCGAGTTCCACCTTACCACCGTCAAGTTCCTCGGCTATGTCATCAGCCCTCAGGGCATCCAGATGGATGACAAAAAAGTCCAAGCCATTCACCACTGGCCACAACCCAAGACCGTTAAGGAACTCCAACGCTTTCTAGGACTCTCACATTTCTACCGCCGTTTCATCCACCATTTCAGTCAGCACACAGCCGCCCTCACGTCTATGCTCCGTAATAAGCCCAAGTCTCTGTCCTGGACGCCCACAGCCCTCCAGAGCTTCGAAGACTTGAAGGAAGCCTTCTGCACCGCTCCTACCCTTGCGCTGCCCGATCCTCAGAAACCATTTTTCGTGGAAGTAGTAACGGGTAATACCCCCGGAGACCATTCTCCCTCCAGTCCTCATTGTGGGTCCCATTCAATGGACGCTCGACGAGGAGATCCGCCAGGCCACCCACTCCGAACCTGCTCCGCCGGGAGGTTATGTCCCATCCACTCTCCACAATACCCTTCTGGACTCACTGCATTCCTCCCGGGCTCTGGACATCCAGGCAGCCAGCAAACCCTCTCGCTCCTCGAATCCCGCTATTGGTGGCCCTCTATGGTGCAAGAAGTCCGGCTTTTTGTCCAAGGATGCTCAGTCTGTGCCATCACCAAATCTCCCCGTCACCTACCTCAAGGCAAACTGGTACCCCTTCCCATACCTCACCGACCCTAGTCCCACATCGGAGTCGACTTTGTCACCGATCTCCCTGAGTCCGAATCCCATACATGTATTCTCGTGGTTGTCGACCGATTCTCAAAAGGATGTAAACTTCTCCCCCTCAGAAAATTACCCACGGCCATGGAAACCGCTACACAGTTACTCCACCAAGTCTTTCGCAACTTTGGCATCCCGGAGGATATCGTCTCCGATCGTGGGCCTCAGTTCATCTCCCAGGTCTGGAGGGCCTTCTTCCATCTCCTGGGTGTATATCAGTAAGCCTCACCTCCGGATATCACCCACAGTCAAACGGCCAGACTGAGCGCAAAATCCAAGAGATTGGGAGATACCTCCGTAGCTATTGCCACCAGAACCAGAACCACTGGAGCCTCTACCTTTCCTGCGACGAGTACGCACAAAACTCCCTTCGACAGCAAACCACCGGCCTCACCCTGTTTCAGTGCCTACTCGGTTACCAACCTCCCCTATTCCCGTGGACGGGAAATCCCTCAGACGTTCCAGCGGGGGATGACTGGTTCCGAGAGAGCGAGAGGGTCTGAGACTCAGCACATGTCCATCTCCAGCAGGCAGTTCGGAGACACCAAGCGCAGGCCAATGTTCACCGCCACCCTACTCCACAATACCAGCCGGGAGATAGGGTGTGGTTATCCACACGGGACATTCGTCTCCTTCGGGAGCCGCCCGTGGGGGGGGAGGGGTACTGTCAGGGAGAGTCCAGCCTCGTCAGGCCCAATCATCTCACACCCCCGTTCACAATCACCGGAGTACTAATCAGCCGCACCTGTCACCACCTCATCAGCACCAGCTTAAATGCACAGTCACTGCAGTCACACTTCGTCTGGTCTTGAGTTCACTACGCTACTCCTTACCTGACTCACTGAACCCGGACTCCATCCTGATACCTTCCTGTCTCTGTGCCATCCTCTTCAGCCCGATCCACCAAGGAACCCTTCATCACGTGAGCCCGATCCCTTCCATTCCATAGACTGTTGCTCTAACCCATTGCTCTCCATCTCTCTCTCTCGCCCAGCACCTGTTCAATAAAGCTCTGTTTACTTTACCTCTCCGTCCCTGGTCTCCTTCTGTACTGTGACAACTATTTCATGAGATCTTTGACAAATCTCAAAGATCCCTTTGTTACATGATTGTCACATTCAGTATGAATTATTCAGCTTTATTGAAATGTTGAGCGAGATACATTTGTTGTTCTATCAGCGTCTAAAATGAGCTGCTGATAAACGCTGATCATTTTGATATAATATTTTGATATAATTTGATATATTATTAATATAATGTTATTCGTTTTGATATAATATTCATCATATCAGATCAGATCACAGTTGTTGGAACTTTAGTGGTCAATTATCAGAATGTAAACCAATGGAATTTATGTTTGCACAAAAGTTACATTATTTTATAGTATATGTATTAATATGTTATTTTTTATTTATACTCAGGCCAGTTAAATGACAAACAAATCACAAAATGTCTCACAACATTTTCATTTTAGCTACTATATTTAATTATATTTATGGGGACATAATTGCAGTGATATGTTAAATGCTATTATGGAAAGTGTAAATGCAGATGAGATTTTCAGTATTTTATTTAACGACAGATTCAATGTCCTTCAGTGGGATTCAGCATTATCATAGCGCAGGACCTCCTTTAACAGTTCAGTTATTGAAAACCTGACAAAAAAAAAATTTCTCCTGTGTCTGTTTCTAGATGGCTTGGTTTCATATAATAGTCCACTTGGCCAGCAGATGACTCTCAATGGACAGTATATTTATCTCAATGACTCCGTGTATGATGGAGCCATGAGTTACAGGTCAGTACACTTTTCAGTAGCTTGAGCGTAATGAGGAAGATACAGAGTACACCCACAATAGTATCCTTACACCAATCCAAGTTTGAGTGTGTAGTAAAAATGATGACTGATTCAGAGTTAGTATTGTTTGAACTGACCATGCAGTTTACCTGATGCCTTGCAAATGGAAAAATTGATCCCAGATCAGTTTCACAAAACGCACAGGCTAACTGTAGCCAGTCTGTTATTGCCTTGTTGCTATGATGACAGGCGCCAGGAGGGGAAAGAGTCACAGTGGTTTCACAATGTTCACAGGAGAATTTGACTCATTGCTTCCTGAACAATACCTTCCATGACACAGTGCAAAGCATGTTTGCTTTCTTGACAGAGCTGCCAGAAAACCGCAAAGTAGAAATCCACACATTCATAGTCATTAAACTATCACAAGAGAGACCAGTGTCATTGCTGGGAAAAATTAAGATAAAGGCTTATATAGTGCCGTCATCTAGTGGTCATTTGGTATAAACAGATCACAAAGTTTTAAGTAGTCAGGCTATTTAATAATGCACTCTGAGAGACTTGATAATAAAAACAATCAATCATTTTTTGTATTTTTATTTATAATGTTTTATTTTACTTATGCATCCTTATTATTAGTGCATCCTTGCTGAATAAAAGTATTAATTTCTTAAAAATAAATATTTTACTGTCCCCAAACTTTTGAAGTTATATATCCAAAAATATGTATTCTGGCTCTATTTTCCCCTACAGTATGACAGAAGGACTTGGACAACTGACGGATGGCATGTGTGGCCTCGATGACTTCACACACAGTCATGTCTACAATGTATGGCCTGGTTATGACTATGTTGGCTGGACCAACGAGAGCTTTCCCAACGGTTATGTTGAGATCATATTTGAGTTTGACCGCACCCGCAACTTCACCACCATGAAGGTAGAAATGTCTGTCATGTCCTACACCACTAACTCTCCTCTTCAATCATATAAACTTTCTAGGAAAGCAAGTTTACGGGTGTGTTGTTAAAAGTGCAGTCTAATTGCTGGAACTACATGATTAAGTGTTTGAAAATTGTTGGGTCATTTAAAGGTTTAAATTACCAAACTCTCCCTAATTTACACCCATCATAATGCTTTGTATTCTCTCTCCCTTTTAATCTCAAATGATTCAGGTGCACTGCAACAACATGTTCTCCCAAAGGGTAAAGACCTTTCAGAAGGTGGTGTGTTATTTCCGCTCAGAGTCGGACTGGGAAGCTACACCCATATCATTCAGCCCCGTGATGGATGATGTCAATCCCAGTGCCCGCTTTGTCACCGTCTCACTCTACAATCACATGGCCAGTGCTATTAAGTGCCAGTACTACTTTTCTGACATCTGGATGATGTTCAGTGAAATCACCTTCCAGTCAGGTTAGTAAATGGCCATGCAAAGACATCAACTCTGTCCAAATTGTTGTATAATGGGACACTCATCTGTAACGGCTGGACAAATCAGACATATTATTATTTGTTGTATTTAACAAATAATCCAACAGACCCCTCGCCCAGTAACTAGACTGGGTGCTGGGATGTTTGTGAACAACCCCCAGGCCACTGGTTACCATGGCAGCAAGAACACTATAGCCAGATAAGATAGCTTTAGTGACCCAAAGGAATTGACCCTTCGCAGGGAGTTTGATTGACAGGCAATCTGACCAATCATTATAATGGGACACTCATCTGTAACGGCTGGACAAATCAGACATATTATTATTTGTTGTATTTAACAAATAATCCAACAGACCCCTCGCCCAGTAACTAGACTGGGTGCTGGGATGTCTGTGAACAACCCCCAGGCCACTGGTTACCATGGCAGCAAGAACACTATAGCCAGATAAGATAGCTTTAGTGACCCAAAGGAATTGACCCTTCGCAGGGAGTTTGATTGACAGGCAATCTGACCAATCATATCAGCTGCAGGTGATGCTCTTTCATCCATGCCGAGATGTCCGTCAGGCAGTCTGAGATCCGAGCAGGTACCGTTGAATCATCTGGTTGAAATGAGAGGTAGAGCTGCGTGTCATCAGCATGTCATCAGCATTCATGATAGGAAAAACCATGCACTTATGTGTGTATATAGAGAAGAGGAGGGGCCCAAGAACTGATCCTTGAGGAACCCCAGTGACCAGTTGATGTGATTTGGATACCTCTCCCCCCTAAGCCACCCTGAAGGACCTACCTGTGAGGTAAGACTCAAGCCAGTGGTGTGCTTTTCCGGTGATGCTCAGCGATGAGAGGGTGGACAGAAGGATTTGATGATTAACAGTGTCGAACGCAGCAGATTGATCTAGAAGAAAGAGAACTGAAGATTTGGACTCAGCTCTTGCACTTCGTAGCACTTCAGTGACTGACAGCAAGGCGGTTTCAGTTGAATGTCCACTTTTTAAATCCAGATTGGTTATTGTCCAGCTGGTTGTTTTGTGAGAGGAAGGAAGACACTTGGTTGAAAACAATGTGTTCAAGTGATTTTGCTATGAAAGGGAGTAGAGACACAGGCCTGTAGCTTTCAACAAGTGAGGTGTCTAGTGTAGGTTTTTTAAGCAGTGGGGTTACCTGAGCCTGCTTGAATGCGGTGGGAAAAATACCTGAGAGAAGAAATGTGTTGATGATGTCTGTGAGTGAAGGTAGAAGTGCAGGGTAACTAGCTTGTAGGAGATGTGTCTAGAGGACAGGTGATAGGGTGGCTGGAGAGAATAAATTTAGAGACTTCATCTTCTGTAAGAGGAGAGAAGATGGTAAGCTGTGTGAGTGTTTGCTGTGGGTTCCTGGCTGAATCGAGCCAAGAACTGACTGCTGATGGATGTGGTTTTGTTTGTGAAGTAATTAGTAAAATTGTCAGCAGTTAAAGAGGTGGTGGGAGGTGACGGAGGGGTACAAAGGAGAGTATTGAATGTTTTGAAGAGTTTGCGTGTGTCTGAAGCGCTGTTGATCTTGTTATGGAAGGTTTTGGCAGTGTGAACTTTGGTGGAAAATGAAGATAGCAGTGACTGATACCCGCTGAGATCAGCTGAATCTTTTGATTTTCGCCATTTTCTCACCGCTTCTGCCCTGAGTTTAGTCCAATGCTTGTGGTGGACATCGGTTAACCAGGGGTTGGAGGGAGTGAACTATGAGAATGGAACAATGAGATGGCAACAGCATCATCTTCTCCTTGGCCCACACCCTCGAGGGAAGAAACAGGACAGATACAAGGACCGTGACAGAATGGAGCAACAGAAGAAAATCACCAGTCTTCAGGAGGCTCGCCACCAGACAGGGCTTGGAAAGAGAACTGTTTCACACAAAATCACTGTTAAAAACAACCTACGTGGAACATAAAGAAAGAGAAACGCTAGAGCCAAGGCCTTAGAATGCCATCTGCATGCAGCCAGGGCTGAAGTCCAAAACTTGACATTAAAGATGAGCCTGACATGGTCCAGAAAGATCTGAAACAGACCTACAGACTGTAAATGGACTCACCAAGTAACAGACACCGTGCTGCACATCACACAGTCAGCAGTGCAAACATCTTTACCCCTGTACACAAATACAAACAGCACCTGGAGTGACACTCAAAGACCTCATCCGAATGGCCAGAAACATCCCTGCATTCACACCAGAACTTGCAGGAGACCATGACATCCACGCCTACCTGTTAGACATTGACTTTCGCCTGCAGTCTTTGGCCAGTGTGAATCACCAGGATGGACTTTATCTGCTCTGGATTACCTCCAGCCCAGAGGTGCAACGCATCCTGGCTCAACAGCCAGGAAACATCCAATCAGACTACCAGCAGCTAAATTAAGCCATCATAGCAGAATTCTCAGATCCCAAACAGGGCCGGCATTAAACTCTTCAAGTTTGTTGTTCAGTCAACAGCTCGGAAGCAGCCAGACAGCACCAGTTAGAACTAGTCCACACACCCAAAGGTGAAAGCACCACCTGACACAACTCCGCCGCAAGAGCAAAGTGACACAGCAAACTTTAGACTTCTGGTGACTGAGAGTAGAACAGGGCGAACAACCACCTGCTGCCCTCCTGCCACCATCAGTGTGAATCCCTCTTCATCCTACTAAATCTCGATAACCATCCCCCAAGATCCCTGGAACTACCTGCCCTGTCATAAGTAAGAGTCCAACCCGGCTGTTCCAAAGTGCGGGTACCACGGATAGCCTACTGGCTAACAACACATACAAACAACCATCTGCCCCAGACCAGCTCACTTCAGGATGACAGGTGACACTGCCTTAAAACCTGCTGCACAAGCTTGAGGACCTGCACCTTGCTACAGCCTACATAACCACAGCATACCACCTCACAGCATCTACCACAGCACCACAGTCACTCCTGGATGCACTAAATGCCAGAGAGCCACCACGGCCTTCAAGCATTGTGTGCCAGAGGAGTGTCTGATTTTCCTGCTTATTTTCCATTGCTCGCCGTTTTCTACAGGTCAAACTGCTGGGATGTCTGTCCAAAAATTTCACCTTTTTCATTGGTCAAGCTAAACACAGAAGTTAAAAAAACTCACTTCTGTGACCCTCTTACACTTACTGCTCTTGTTCTCTTGCCTTTTGGACCATCCAGTCCAACCACAGTGCCGTGGGACTTCCCCCACTCCCCTGACCACCACCAAATCAGAATAACATCTTTGGAGTTTGTCACTCTTCAGCCCGCAAGAACTCGATTGCAACGCCATCAAACTGTTGAACCAGCAACACTTTCATCTGAGACTGCATCCGGACGCTCAATCAATGGCCAAGGCAATGCAAGTATCGTATATTTAATCAAACGAAACAGAGGTTTAGTATAAGCGTTAGACCCATTTGTTACAAAGGTGCTGGTGGTTCGGCTCAGGTGGTTAACTGACTCCTTTTCCATAGCCTCATTCTCTGGTTTCTATAACCGTTTTATTCATTCACTTTTGCTCCCCTGCGTTAAGTGCGTGTATATGTTTGTTAGACTCGTTATGTGTTAGTGTTAAGTTAATAAAAATGTTGTGCACAATTACACAAGTTTTTGGTTCTGTCACTGCTTGTAAACAAAGTCAGTTTAACGAGCCAGTCTTGCTACATGCTCTAATGTATTAGTACTGTAAGAAAGTTATTTCCTGTGGCCAGAAAAACAACATTTCTTAGAGTTGATATGACATTACATTGCATGTTCGCTAGACGAACAGATTAGTTGATGGTAATATTTACTCTGCTATAGTTACTTCTGGCAGCTGATATAAATAATTGTAATTAATTATAATTTATTGTAATTATTTATATACATATCCCTTTTGAGCTAATTTGCTACACATCATATAATGACTGTTCTGACTCCTTAATTTCAGATACAGCCATGTACAACACAACCCTGTCTCCCCCCAAAACTGGTACTCCTACCAGCAATCAGCCAGGTCAGATTTTCCACTGCTCCTGAATCAGTCATATGTTGAGAACCAGCAGTTTCTGTGTTATAATCCATCTGAATAAACTTCAGTCATCTTTTCTGAAGTGTCATTTCATCAACAGGTTATCTTTCTCTTTATCCCCTTCTTAGGGGATGACCCCACCCACAAAGTAGATGACAGCAACACTCGGATCCTGATTGGCTGTTTGGTTGCCATCATCTTCATTTTAGTAGCCATTATTGTTATTATACTATGGAGACAAGTGTGGCAGAAGATGCTTGAGAAGGTGAGATACACTTAAATATGATCATGTATATTCTTCTATGTATTCAGAATCTGTCAGGCAGAAGCTTACATAGCTTTAAAATGTTTAACATTTTTGAGCTTTTTCAACCAAATTAATAGATTTATTTAGCAAAGTCTCAATAAATTGATCGAAAGTGACAGTGAAGATATTTATAATGTTGCAAAATATTTCTATTTCAAATAAATGCTTTTCTTTTGAACTTTCTATTCTTTAAAGAATGCTGAAAAAAATAATCATGGTTTTCACAAAAATATTAAGCAGCACAACTGTTTTCAAAATTGATAATAATATGAAATGTTTCTTGAGCACCAAATCAGTGTATTAGAATGATTTCTGATGGATCATGTGACCCTGACGGGTAGCATAATGCCTTCTGAAAAAATCAGCTTTTCCATCACAGAAATAAATTACATTTTAAGATAAATTAAAATAGAAAATAGTTATTTTAAAATGTAATACACACATACTGGTAAAAAATGTATAGCCTGAGTGCACTGTAAGTCACTTTGAATAAAAGTGTCTGCTAAATGCATAAATTATTATTAATTATTATTAAATTATTAATGTTAAACAATATTACTATATTACAATATTACTTTTATTGTATTTTTGATCAAATAAATGGAGCCTTGATGAGCATAAGAGACTTCTTTCAAATGCATTAAAAAAAGTTTTAGTTATGTCCAATTATATGTACAGTTATGTCTTTGTTCCCACATGACCTACTTGCATAAAACATTCATTCTGCACCAGAACTTAACATATAAAACCAGTATGATTATGACAAGCTTTTATTGTAGTCTTACTGCATGACCCCTAAACAGTGTGATGCTATTTTTGTAGTGTTCATATGAATGGGAAAAAAAAGTGGATTGTGAATATGATTTCATAGATGCATAATACAACAAACTACTAGTTTATATTTTAGCCTTTTTTTTAGCCTTCCTTACAAATCATCCTTCATTTCAGGTGTCTCGGAGGATGCTGGATGATGAACTTACTGCTAGTTTGTCAATACAGAGTGAGACCTTCACCTATAACAACAACAGCCCCTCTTCAGTGCCCAGTGAACAGGAGTCTAGCTCCACTTATGAGCGTATCTTCCCTCTGGGACCCGACTACCAAGAGCCCTCTTGCCTGGTTCGCAAACTGCCAGAGTTTTCCCAGACCTCAGAGGATACCGGTGAGCTCCAGAAGCGGTGTATGGAATATATATGCAATATCATATATACATATTCATGTATATTTATGTTTACTTTTCTGCAGCTTCAACAAATACATCGTCCAAGTCCCCTCCAGTCAGTGTACAAGAGGGGGTCCCACATTATGCCGAGGCAGACATTGTCAACCTGCAGGGTGTAACTGGGGGCAATACCTACGCAGTGCCCGCCCTCACCATGGACCTGCTGTCAGGAAAGGATGTCGCTGTGGAAGAATTTCCTCGTAAACTGCTTACCTTTAAAGAAAAGTTGGGAGAAGGGCAGTTTGGAGAGGTCTGTTCTCAAATAACAAATAACAGTCTCCATTTATGAAAAATGTCCTGTTTTCTTCTGTATCTACTGTTCTAATTTTTTTTATATTATTTATTCCTGTGATGGTCATAGCTGAATTTTCAGCAGCCATTACTCCAGTTTTCAGTGTCATATGATCTTTCAGAAATCATTCTAATATGATGATGATTTGGTGCTCAAGAAACATTTATTACTCTTACCCCCGGTTTCACAGACAAGGCTTAAGCCTAGTCCTGGACTAAAATGTAAATCTGAGCTGTTTCAACTGAAAGAAACTTGCACTGACTGATCTTAAAACATGTCAGTGCCTTTGTTTTGTCTTAAGATGCACACCAGTAATGCTTTTTTCTAAGGCATGTTTATAAAAATTACTTAAATGTCCTAATTTAATACTTAGGCTAAGCCCTGTCTATGTAACCGGGCCTTATTGTTCAAAACAGTTGAGCTGCAACATTATAAATGTCTTTACTGTCACCTTTGATTAATGTAATGTGTCCTTGCTGAATAAAAGTATTAATTTCTTTAAAAAAACATACTGACCCCGAACTTTTGAATATAGTATTTTCATTGATTTTAAAGCAAATATTTAAATGATATCTGAATATGCTATAAATGGCTGTTTTCACGTGTTGCTAGGTGCATTTGTGTGAAGCAGAAGGCATGCAAGATTTCATGGATGAGGACTTCTCCTTCGATGTCATTGAAAACCAAACAGTGCTTGTAGCTGTTAAAATGCTTCGAACGGATGCAAATAAAAACGCCAGGTTTGCAAGCCCAAATGTCATAATCATGGCTTCCATAACTGAAACTGCGTCCTAAAGAACATCAAATGCATGCTTTTGCTTTAACACTCATGAATATTCGTTATTCATACATTCGTCCTTTTTCTGTAACCTCACATAATAAACATGCCTAAGCCAAATTGCCATAGCTCCTTTTTTCCAATACTTTACAGGAATGATTTCTTGAAGGAGATAAAGATCATGTCACGATTGAAAGACCCCAACATCATCAGGCTGCTGGCGGTGTGTATGAGCTCTGACCCTCTGTGTATGATCACCGAGTACATGGAGAATGGAGACCTTAATCAGTTCCTGTCTCGCCATGAGCCCGAGGGCATGATCGCTCTCCTCAGCAATGCTCCCACAGTCAGGTAGATACCAAACGTTTTCAAACATTTACATTCAAGTATAGCAATGGAAATTGGAAGTGCAATTACAATGGTCTACTGTGACTTTAAAGATGGACACATTATTACAAAGGAAGTGTATGGAATTGCAGAAATATGATGAATCAGCAAGCAACATCTCATTGTTAAACACAATTTTTAGGTAATGATCTTAAGCACACAAGGTTATGACTCACATTCTGTTTTTACTGTTTCAGTTACAGTAACCTACACCACATGGCCACACAGATTGCTTCAGGCATGAAGTATCTATCATCACTCAACTTTGTGCATCGAGACTTGGCCACCCGCAACTGCCTAGTAGGGAAAAACTACACCATCAAGATTGCAGACTTCGGAATGAGTAGGAACCTGTATAGCGGAGACTACTACCGTATCCAGGGCAGAGCGGTGCTGCCTATCCGCTGGATGTCCTGGGAGAGCATTCTTCTGGTCAGACACACACACACACATTCTAGAAAAACAATAAATCGTACTCTCAAAAGTCTTCACAATTTTTGTGTTTTTTGGCTTCAGATAAATCACTAGTGACTTATTTTTCTGTAGGTAAAAACAGATTCTATGTCTATAAAAGTCTGAAACAGGATGATTTTTGTCCTCTACAGGGAAAATTCACCACATCCAGTGATGTGTGGGCTTTTGGCGTGACCCTTTGGGAGATGCTTACCTTCTGCAAAGAGCAGCCTTACTCACAGCTATCTGATGAGCAGGTCATTGAAAACACAGGAGAGTTCTTTCGGGATCAAAGGAGACAGGTACTAGTACGCTTATCTGCTTTTGTAGAGATCTGATTAAACTGATCCTATTTATCAATTCATTTATCCATAAAGGTTCTTTATTGATATGTATGGTTCTATGAAGAACCTTTAACATCCATTGAACCTTTTCATTACTTTTAAAAGGTTCTTGATAGTAGAAAAAAGGTCTTTAGATTTTTTTTATGTTTTTCACACTAAGAAAAAAAATGTCTTTCTTGCGTTCAAAAACGGGGTACAACTTTTGGGTTGGGGGTGGAATCGGAATTGAGGGTGGAACCACATTGGTTTCCGTGCAGTTTGCCAAAAATCAACAATATGAAAAATACAAATGAAAAACACAGAATATATATAAAAACAGAAAACCTCTATTGTAGCTTGGTGGACACTAAAACGGTAAAATATGTGAGAACTATAATAATTCCCATTTATTTTTATTGTGTAATTTCCATTGTGTCAGGGGTCACTTTGACCCACATATTATTATAATATTGACACAAAAAATAAAGAAAAAAATTAAATTAAATAAAACTGAGATGTGAATAGCTACAAGTATAAATAGTATCTAACATTATTTTTACTATTTGTAGTATTTATTGCTATTTGTACTTATTCTGCCTGTTTGTTGTCTTTTTCTGAAAACCTTGTTAGGGTAAAATAGTTTTTTTTATGTTTTTCAGTGCTGTAACAGTCTAGTAATTTAGATCCAAATATAACCTTTAAAAGATTTTTTGACTGTGAAACTCAACTTGATAAACAAAAATTTCCTTGGATGATTCAGATGAAGAGTCTCAATTACAAGTGAACTTTGAGCCTTAAATTTCAGAAGTCCTCATGTATTTCATATTTTAGTGTTTGACCAGCTACAATAAAGGTTGTCTGTCTTTTCTACAAAATGTTGATTTTTGGAAAATTGCATGTAAACCAACGGGGGGTCAATATGCACAAAAGCCATAATACAATTTGTACGACTTTTACTAAACACATCTATGTGTGAACCTTTGCATGCACATTCATGACCCTAAATGAGAAATATTCACATAGTTTCAATAAGAAATAAATAGTTCAACCAGTTTGAAATAGTTTGAAAATCGAGTATGGGTCAAACTGACCCCAACACAGCAGATGGGGTTTTAAAGGTCCCATATTATCAAAACTGAAATTTCCTGGCTTTTTTCATGATAATTGAGGTCTAGGTGCTATGTAACTACCATATAAGTTTCAAAACAGTCAATCCACAATCAAATGCACACAGCCTGCATAAAGTAGCTGTCATTTTTCACGAACCGTTGTGACTTCCGTAAAAAGGTGACGTCAGAACTACTCAGTCAGCGCCTTCAGTCACCACCCCGAGCACTGCCCACAGTCCCACTCTCCTTTTGCCAAACCCCCAGACAACATCGCGTCCATGCCATTGCTGAGCAACAACAACATGGAAACATGTCGAGAAAACGCTGTTCAGTCTGGATGTCAGGAAACTACATCATTGCACAGTAGGGCTGTGACAGTCGCCATGACAACCGCATCAACACCGGCGGTAGTGCACGTGACGTCACACACTCTATAACAAGCATAATACAAAGTTTTGTATAGAAGTATAATAATAGTAACAGTTGCAAATTGTTTTATTTAGACTGTAAGTCTATGCTAATTCACAAATTACCTCAAA